CTTCTTGTTAAAAACCGTAATTCCAATTGCTTTGATATTACATACATAGGTACTACATGTGGATCTCTCTCAGATTTGTTCATTTTGTAATGATATCTACACTTTTCTAATTTTGGTGAATATTTTTGTCATTTTTGGTAAAAAGTGATATTTTCAACTTCTTGTTAAAAACTGCAAGTCCAATTGCTTTGATATTACATATATAGGTACTACATGTGGACCTCTCTCAGATTTGTTCATTTTGTAATGATATCTTTAATTCTCTAATTTTGGTGAATATTTTTGTCATTTTTGGTAAAAAGTGATATTTTCGACTTCTTGTTAAAAACCGTAATTCCAATTGTGTAATTCCAGTAAATTACGTACATAAATTTTGAATCTTTTTGGAAAATGTGATTATTATATTGTACGCTACAATCACTATGCCACTTTAGAAAACTTTAATGTTTTTAAATTTAATTCTTGGTGACCACCATTGAATGATTATGCAATTGTGCATAATTATTGTATAATCCTGTAAAATTTTTAATTTAGCAACTTCTATCCCATAAGCCTAATTATGAGTTCTGGCAGACATGAGAAAATGAGGGCATTGAACTTATGAAAAGGAGGCCCTTGTGAGACTTATTGATGAGTCGATGAAAAATGTTACAATAACATGCTTCGCAGTAGTGGTAGTTCTCTCTATAATGCTTAAAAGGCTTTAAAAATATAATATTAAAGTGGGAGGGTAAGGGTAAAGCTTCATGTCCTCTAGCCCATGGGTGTTTTCCATTTAGTAATGCATAAATTATTTTTAAGAGAGGAACATGTACAATAATTGTGGGTTTGGGAGATAGGTCTGAACATTTCGCTTATATATAAAGGCGCCAAGCCATTGGTTGCCATATACATTACGATACCCAGAAAATATGAAATTATGTAATCGATAGGCAAGATACTATGTTTTTTGAACAGCTCAAATGACGATTGGCTAAAGTTGTCAGAAGAAAATCACCCGAACTGCCCTTTTCTGAAGCTTATAAACCCGACATAAATTTGATTGACTTGTATTGCCCCATACTATACAGCAATAGTCCAATAACGACTGAATAAATGAAAAATACAATGTTTTAACGACGGAAATAGGTAAGAAACTGCGAACTCTCATAAGAACACAAATTCTTTGGCTAAGCTTTTTACAAAGCATATCAACATGATGATCCCATGATAGAGTTTTATCTAAAACCAACCGAGCGACTTTTCGAAACTGACTGTTTTAATTATTTCACCATTGAAATTAAAGGGCGGTGGTCGTCGCGCAGCGCGTGTTCATCATCATCTTTGTGACTACATTGATACTTGGTCCAGACGATAACAGTGTTTGATCGTCCGTAAACTGTTTTCAAGAAATAATGGTAGGTCATTAATAGAAGAAATAATAATGGTCTTAAAATCGAACCCTGTGGCACGCCACCGAATATTGACAGCATCCGACTGTTTACCCATCAAGTACTGGCACAACTTGCTTAAACCATATAAGGGAGATTGGAGAAATGCCATAAATTGAGAGCTTATTCGATAAAACATGTTTATCTACCATATCAAATGCCTTGAAAAAGCAAACCACACAATAATCCATCATCCTTTTTTGCTAAGTAATGCATCACATAGCTTAATCATAGCTGTATGGCAAGAATGGGATTTCCGAAAACCTGACTGCAATTTAGAAATTAATTCATGACTATTCAAATAATGGTATAAGTGATCATACACATGTTTTTCAAAGATTTTTGAGATTACTGGGAGCAACGAAATTGGACGAAAATTACACAAGTCCTGGGATCCATCCTTGTGTAATGGAATAACTTTGGCATGCTTAAACATGTCTGGAAAAATATCCGCACCACTGCATAACGTGCTGTCCTGTAAGATATTTGTATACTATTTTGTACAACTTCTACACTACATGTTACACGGTGTAGACAAACATATGTACCATACTGCAGACGTGGATATATTCTAAGCTACACAGCGTTTCGCGTGCAGCTATAGCTGTGGAATCATAGCCCTATGTTGCCGACCGCATTATTTACGTGACTGACTCTGGCCGCACAACAAAATTAAAAAAAAGACGTCCAAATGAAATTGTTAGGGCGAAATTCGATTGTAGGTCGCACCAAAGAGCTACGGAACCGCAGCTAGTGCAGCTACACAACAACACTCAGAAAAGCAATTCATTTTACATCATTGTAAATAAATAATCAAGCATTTTGTTGAACACAATCTGAATACAATTACAGCAAGTCTCAGAAGTATTGGGGCAGCCAATTTGCAAATTCGCTAGCGAATTGGCGAACTGCTTTGGTTTTGACTAAACGGTTGGCTTTCGAATCTCGCTGGCGCCGTTCTGTGGTCACGCCCACTCTGGGTGAATCTATATTACAGTAGGGGTCGGCCGATTTTCTCCCTGATTTATAGGAAACTGTTTCTCAACTTGTCTCTTTATTTAGTTTCAATCAGTGTTCAAGATGGCTACCCCA